ATATTCCTTTATATGTGGTTCAGAGTTCTGGGACCATCTCCTGAGCCTGCTTGGTCCCGTATTCTGTGTTGTTGCTGATGGAGCTCCTTACTGCACGTCCACCTGATCCACCATCCTGTTTGTTCTCCAAACCCAACTGATTTTTGTGTGTTGATCTTTACTGAACTCATTTAATTCTAGTAGTATTCTTTTTGTTTTGTTTTTAATGTTTTATTGTGCATTATATGATAGTTTTCATGGGAGAACATTAGTTTTACATTCATTCTATCGTATATTGTCTCATTGCCATGGTTACAATCCCCACCATGCATCATCAATCAACCAAAGGGTATACCCTGCAAGCCTGCCCCCCCCACACCCCCATCTAGTAGCATTCTTGTGAATCCTTTGAGATCTTCTTTATGTAGGATCATATAATAATAATAAAAAAAGATAGTTTTATTCTTCCTTCCCTATTTGAATACCTTTTATTTCTTCTCTTGCTTAACTGCTCTTGCTCAAACTTATATTGAATAGCAGTGGTAAGAGTGGGCATCTTGTTCCTGATCTTAAGGAAAATCTCTCAGTCTTTCTCAGTGTATTATATTATCTGTGCATTTGTAAATTGTATTCATTAAAAGCTTGTGGTGAAGCTTTGTTTCCTGCCCCTGTGTATAGCCTTACAGTGACGTGTGCTGCATCTAAAGGAAGTGACCACACACTTGTGTCTGTTGCTGTTGCTTAAGCAGTGTCAGACTCCCGAACCTGATCTGACTCCTCCAACCTCAGTCATCAGTCTGTAGCATCCCACTCGGTTAAAAATGCAGTTATATGATTTAGTTGTTACTTTCTTTTTTATTTTCTTATTCTCAGGACCCAACTTTGCCAGTTCTAAAGCCTGCCAAAACACAGACCAAAAGACCCAAGCCACGAGGTAAGCAAGCCGGCTGGAAGTGGGCTATGTGCATAGTTAGGGTGGGGCAGAAGCCGTGAGTGGAATGGGTCTACAGGTGGCCTATCCTCTTGAAAGTCTCAACTCTAGAACTGGTGAAAACAGGCAAAGCTAATCGATAGTGTCATCTGGAGAAATGGTAGGACATCACTTCTGGAGATTGAATTATAAATTCCAAGGTTGAAGATGGAATGTTTTACATTCTTAGCCAAGAAGGATGACTTCCTGGAGCAGGCAGCCTCTGTGGAGAACTATAAAGAGAGAACGATCCAGGAAAAAACCATGATTGGGAAAGAGGAAGGGATGAGAGAGAGCTTGCTAGAGTGAGAAGATGATGCGGGAGAGGGCAGAGACTAGCTGCAGGGAATCCATAGACCCTTTCCAAGCTGTCTTTTACAGAAAATAAACACATTTCCTCCATGGTTGGGGTCAGGGACTGGTGATAAAGGCCTAGTAGATCGACGATATGGGACCGTGCCAAAAAAGACTAAGAGATCACTGGGAGATGAACCCACAGTCCCTCCTGTGCCCAGAGCGGCAATGAAAGAAGGCCCAGAGAATTCAGATCCTCACAAGCCAGGTAAGGCACAGGCCTTGGGTAAACGACAGAAAAACAAGGTTCATGTAACTTGGGCATTTAAAATGTTTCTATAGATTTTATTACTTTAAAGAAAGAACAAAAATTTAAAAGTATGTCTCTGATTAGAGTATACAGAACATACTATAAACATAGTAGTTATTGATTTGGCTAAATCCAGGCACAGAAAACTATTTTTTCACTATTTCTGGCTGGGTATTTGTCATTTTAAAGATAAGGAAATTGAAGCTCAAAGGGTCTAAAGTTTGTTCAAGACCCCTTCAAACTTATGGCTTAGCCATGGCTAGAATCCAAGTCTTTCTGACTCCAACACCCATATTTGTTCTACTGGGTTGTTGTTGTTGTTAAATACTGTGGAGTTGGTTCCGACTCATAGTGACCCTGCACAGGGTTTCCAAGGCTGCACATCTTTACAGGAGCAGAAAGCCTCATCTTTTCCCATGGAACAGCTGGTAGTTTCGAACTGCCGACCTTGAGGTTAGCAGCCTAATTCGTAACCACTATGCTACCAGAGCTCCTTACTGGGAGCTTTTCCAGAGATTTCTTGGAAATAGGGATTTTGGAGTTTTACTTGTGCAAAGGCGAGGACAGACTGATCTAATAATACTCTCGACTTTGTTGCCTTTTCATATAGGCCCTAAGAAAAAATTTAAAGCTCCTCAAAGCAGATCTTTGATAAGCAAGTTGTCTACAGGAAGAGAAGTCAGAATGATGCCAGAGGGTCTGACCTCCCCCACTCAGAGTGGGCCTGACCCCACGGTGGAGAAGGAAGGGCCTGGGCCCCTGGAACCACCGCAGCGTGAGTCTGAATCTGTCCCTGCTGAAGAAGAAGTTTCCAGTGACCTGGACCTCGAGCAACTCCTGGAAGATGTTGGAGATGCGCCCGAGCTAAGAGAAGAGTCCCAGCACAGAGATGAAGAAGAGGGCTTCCCCCTGGTGGTGTTTGAGGAATGATTGCCCTTCTTTCTCTTCTCTCACTTCTCTTCCCCAGAGTGCAAGTGGGGGAGCCTCTCAGCGGGGTCCCCTAGAAGTTTATGGGTAATAATTGGCTACAAGGTTAAAGTCAGTATTGTGCACTTTATGTATTAATAAAACAGATTGCTGCTTTAATTTGCCTCTTTTATCTCTAACCATGCCTTTCTTTTCTGCTGCTTCTCTTCCACTTCTGGGTCATCTGTGGCACATCATTGTTTTGGGTGGGAGGGTGAACAATAAGGAGTCCAGGGAACATCTGAGTCCTAGAAGGACGCTAGGAAGGCAGGTCTTTCTGACTCCAGTGCCCATATTCTTCCTACTGGGTTTGGTCAACTGTTCCAGAGATTTCTTGGAAATAGGAATTTTGGAGTTTCACTTTTGCAAAGGAGAGGACAGACTAGTCTAGTAAGACTCTCAACTTCATGGTTTTTACATATAGGCCCTAAGAAAAAATTTAAAGTTCCCCAAAGCAAGGCTTTGGTAAGTCCTGGTGTGGTACTGTGGGACCATACACTGGACTGCAAGGTTGGTTTGAACCACAAGTTCAGTAGTTCAAATTCACCAGCTGCTCCTTCGAAACCCTATACAGGGTCACTGTGAGTCAACAGCACATAACAACAACAATCATAGCTTTTCCTGTGTGGCCTTAGGAAATCACTTTAGGCATTCTGGTTCTCATTTCATTCTTCAAAATGAATATTTGTTGTTAAGTGCCATCAAGTCGGTTCCAACCCATAGTGGCTCATAGTGACCCTGTATAGGGTTTCTAAGGAGCAGCTGGTGAGCTTGAATCACTAACCTTGTGGTTCAAGCCGACTTTGCAATCCAGCGCATTAACTCACAGTGCCACACCAGAATGCTTTCAAAATGCTTACAGGGTTGTTGAGATGTTTAAGTGAGGTAATGCATGTCAAGCACTTAATACCATATTGTTGTTGTCTGCTATCTAGTTGGTTCCAACTCATAGTAACCCTGCGTAGGGTTTCCAAGATTGTATAAATCTTTGCGGGAGCAGAAAGGTTGATCTTTCTCCCGAGGAGAGTCTGGTTGGCTCAAACTGCTGAACTTGAGGTTTGCAGTCCACTGTTTTTCCTATAGAGTCACCATGCTCCTAGCAGCATACAGGCTAGTTACAATGTTGTAAGGAAAGTAGAATGGTTAGTTTAGGGGTACAGGCCTTGGGTTCTGGACTTGCTACCAGTATTTAGAATTTATTCTTCCCTGGCCAGAGGCAGCCACTGAGGGGAAAAAGGTATTAGAGAAGGGGTCTATTATAGTGTCCGGTTGGTGAGAGGGACAGAAGTTGATGGTGACATTTGCTTCTCCTTAGATGAATTCACACAAATTCTCTGAGTACTTCTATGTCAGGGCATTTCTCCATTCCACCCCGTACTCGATCCCCTCTGCCCCTGATCACTGGCTGAGCTGTCGGTGTCTGGTCGCAAAGCCTACTCTAGGGAGGTCATCACTGAGTCTTGGTGCAGGTCAAGAGGTCATCCTACTCATTGGACCAGTCTGCCTGGGGACTTCACGAGGATCGAACTGGAGCTGACAAGAGAGGTACAGGCAGTGTTGCCATCTTGAGACGCCCCCCAAAGAGAAAGTGGTTAGACATTTAAAGTCAGAGATCCACAACTTGAGTAGTTTTCTGCATGCCGGAGCACAGACTGTCGACTTTCACACCACTGTCCCCAATTCCTCCATACCCACGTCGGAGCTGTCACCTTGTTTTCTGGCTTGGCATCTTATCCTGGCCTCGTGAAAACTCATGGGTGTTGAAATCAGGCGGGTGGCAGCAAGGTAGAGAAATGGGACGGGTTTAAGCAGCGAAGTTATCTGTTACGTCATGGTCAACAGTCATTTAAGGTGGGTGGGTGAGGAATGGGAAAGAGCAGAATACTGAGAAAGGGGCACTCATATATAATGTGGGGAGTGTTTGGAGAACAGGAAGGGTCAGAGGTGAAAACTAGGAAAAGATGATTTTGATGGTAAGAACTGCTTTCCCCAATATTCTCATGTTTCTCCTCAGTGTTTTGGAAGAGGGTGGGAAATGCACTAGAGATTGTACAGTTCTTTTCTGGGGATGCTCTCTAATTTGTTCTGACAGACTCAGGAGGTTTCAGTCTCTCAGAAGAGGAACAGAAGCCTTCTGTGGTGTAGTCCGGTGTAGAGACCGGAGAGTATTGGCTGAAGGTGAACTATCCTCGTGAAGCTGTTTTTGATCAGAGGGAAACTCACAGAGGAGAGGTAGGCATGCTCACCTCCTGTACTCTGTGTTGGTACTATCTTGGCTAAAGCTGAGAGAAATCAAAACCTGTCTCATGTCCTCTGAGCAGGCCTTCTGGGAAAGACATTGAAGGAAGTGACGCAAGAGAGAGAGAGGAGGTTGGTGGGCTGCAAGAAGAGGAGTTATGGTGAAGGAAGGACAGGAGAAAAGGAAAGTGAGATTTGAGGTTCAAGAGAAAGTATGCTCAGGGAAGGGAGAAGAGCTTGGGCTGGCACAGAAGAGAAAGGCTGAGGCTAGAAGTGAAAGAGGCCAAAAGAGTAGAGGCAGAGGAATCGCCTAGGTCTTTTCCTGTACTTCACCAGGGGAAAGGGAAACATTGGACAACAGGCAGGAAAGAAGAGGGAAAAATATGGAAAAGGTAGATGTATCAAGAAAGGATGATATTCAAAGATGAGAGAACACAGATGGACAGAAAGGAAAGCTTAGAAATGGGGAAGAAAACAGGAGGAAAGGGGATATAAGAGAGAAAAAGGGGAGACATTGTGGAAAAGAAACTCAGAGAGCTAGCACTAGAACCCTTAGGTATGCTGTTCTTACTGAGCAGAAACAGGATATGGAGCTTCTGGGAAGTGAAGAACCTAGCTTCTTAGAGGACGCATGAGGATGTGGATTAAGGAATTTGGAGGCGAGGGGCTGAGATGTTTCCAAACAGGAAGTGTCCTTGTAAGAAGAGCTCCTGTTGAGTTCTTAAAAGAAACTTTCTGTTCCCCACACCAGTGGTCCCTGCTTGGGTTTTGGCTTCAGTTTGCCTACCTGGCAAGATCAAGAGTGTTGTGGGACTGGACATGCATAGAGGCTGGCATTTCTCGGTCCCACCTGTCTCTGCTCCTTCATGCTCTGCCAGGCAGTCTTTCCAGAGGTCATGGCAGCTCTGTTAAAACCAGTGTGGGAGGGGAAGGGTCTGGGACTGAGCGCTCTGAGGCTAGCCCACATATGTCCTCACAGCAAATCCTAAGACAAACGTCTCTCTCTGCCCTTCATCACTAACCTCTCTTAATTGAACTTCCCACTCATCCCTGCAAACAGACAACTTCTAGTTTTGTGAACCCCACTTCCCTGAGTCCTCTCTCCTTGCCCTACCTAAAACTGGATACAGATTCTTTTGCAATCCTTCTGAGGGATAACTGATCTTTCTCTCACACCTTATGAATCCGTGGCTTGCAGCTTTTTACATTACTTTACAGCTACTTACATTTTTGAGTGCCTCTGCTCGGCCATTCCTCTCCCACTCTTGGGCCCATCCAAACCCTGTGCTTTCTGGCCCACCACTCCACCAGTGTTGTTGTTAAGAGTCGTTGAATCAGCTCCAACTCACAGCGACCCTATATAGTGTTTCCGAGGAGCAGCTAGTGGGTTTGAACTGCTGACCTGTGGTTCGCAGTCCAGTGCTGATCCTATAGCGCCACACTAGGAGTCCAACCACTCCTCCATGCCACCCTCTAAGTCTCTGTACCTCTGTACATTTCCTAAGGATTCTAGTTCCAGGCTCACAGAGTTTCCCTCCACTCAACAGTGTCCTGGGAGGTTTTATCACTTACAGTCCTACTCACTGGGCCTGCAGCAACACCCCCAACTTCATGACTTCCCTACCAATTCACTCATCCAGTCACTGGATTTTATAAAATCACTGGGACTGGGAATTCTGAAATAGTAAATGTCAATCATTATTATTTTTTAAATGTTTTATTGTGAATTATGTGATAGTTTACATGGGAGAGCATTAGTTTTACATTCATCCTATCGTATATCGTTTCATTGCCATGGTTACAATCCCCTCTATGCATCATCAACCAACCAAAGGGTATATCCTGCAAGCCTGCCCCCCCC